GGTTAACAAAGTGGATTGATGTTCGGGTTAAAAACACCCAGAAAGATTTGAAGCATGCAGACAAGTAGTTAATTAATTAGATGGTCAGTCAATTCCCCAAATGAAGATAGTATGTAAAGGGAGCTCTTGCGGTCAATAAACGCATGGAAAGAGAGCACAGCCTCGGAAGGTGATAGACAAAAACACAGAAGTAATTTGATTTGAATAAGCAAGCCAAACAGTTTAGATTCTTTCCATAACTAGCTACCTCTACAGTTGTGGCCCTTCTACGGTGGATAGGGGGTGATTTATCTTATGGATTAATTACCAGTCAACTTCTCCGCAAGTTTAGTTACAGTTAAGCTTGTTTGTTGTTTTAGGTCACAGTTCCTTGTAATCTTTTCCAACTTCTTGTGCTTTAATTTCCACTTTGGAATTCTAGATTCCCTAATTAGTGGTTTCCTCATCTTCGGCCGGCCTCAAATGACCATGATTTCTATCTACCAGGCAATTAAAAGTAGATCAACTAGATTCCCTGTTGATTGTGACAAAACTGAACAAACGACGTTAGATTTCCATTAATCAAATGGAGCTTTTGACCAAGATTAATTATTATGTGTGTAGAGCTTCAGTACTGACAGCTCTCAGTGAAGAAACTCATGTCATGCACACGCACCGACCACCAGGAATTTTTTACAAGCACATAAATTCAACTGTGATCGATGTATGAGAGAGGCCACGAATTCCCCAGTTAATTTCCAAATGTGGGATGTGACCTACCCCCATTCTCAACATTTTCATCTTGATCAATCGGGTATCCAATATTTTGTTCCATATCGTCTCAAGTCTCAACACAGGCGCGGTATTGGCAGTTTTGGATTGTAGGAGTCTAAATATGAAATGGGTAATGGGTTGGGTTGGTGAATCTTGAAATAACTTTATGTTGTACTCTCAAATGCTTGGCACAATTCCCATGGCAATTTGCTATCCAAATTGCATTGTACATTCACTGAATTCTGCAAATGGGGCCAATCCCTTCATGGTAATTTTAAGACAATCATTGCTGACTTGGAAAAACAGCTGCTAATTGTTCAATCTTCTCACCCAGATGCTGCACTGATAGCTCGAGAAAAACAGCTACGAACTGAACTTGAACAATGGCTTTCTCGTGAAGAACTTTACTGGAAACAACGAGCACAAATTGAATGGTCCACCCAAGGTGATCGTTGTACTCGATTTTTCCATATTGCAGCTAGCAACCGCCATCGAAGAAATCACATTGCTTGTCTGCGAAAACCAAATGGTTCTTGGACAACCCGTGCAGGTGAAATCTCATCATTACTAAGCTCTTACTATCAAGATTCATTTCAGTCATCTACACCTGATCTCTGTAATTTTCATTTGCCTCAAATGGCTTACACTATCTCTGATTTCACAAACACCATCCCTGAGGAAACTGAGGTCCATGATGTTCTATTTAGTATGGGCCATGGAAAGCCCCGGGTCCGGATGGTATGCATGCTGTATTTTTACAACAGGGTTGGTTGTTATTCAGAGCAGAAGTTACAGCTTGGGTACAACACATTTTTCAATATCCCTAACTTATGTCCGATACCAAAGGTGGACAATGTAGAAACTGCTAAAGATTTCCGGCCCATTGAATTATGCAATGTGTTATATAAATTAATAGCAAAATTAACCACTCGAAGGCTGCAAACTAGTCTCCCTAAATTAATATCCCCATGTCAGAGTGCTTTCACACCGGGTCACAATATTACAGATAACTAACTCGATCATCACTCAGGAAGTGCTTCACTCCATGCAAAAACAAAGGGGACGATATGGCTCATTTTTGTTGAAATTAGATCTTTCCAAGGCTTACCACAGAATTGAATGGCCTTTCTTAATATCAGTCCTTCATCATCTAGGTTTTTCCTCTACTTTTTGTGATCTTATCTATTGCTGTATTTCCACCAGTCAGATCTCAGTGTTAGTCAATGGACAATCAACTTCTCTTTTAGGCCTTCTCGGGGTTTACGACAGGGTTGCCCACTCTCCCCATATTTATTCATACTGTGTACGGAGGTCCTTTCTAGATTAATTGAGCAAAACATCCAACAGGGCACACTGCACGGTTTCCGCTTTGGAAATTCTCGAGTTCGTCTATCTCACCTTTTATTTGTTGATCATCTGTTATTGTTCGGTCGTGAAATTACGACTATTCTTCATCTTTTAAATGACTTTTGCAAATGGTCTGGTCAAGAAGTTAATTTTTCAAAATCAGCAATTTTTTTAGTCCTAATACTCATCGACGAATGCGAATTCAATTGGCCAATCGTTTTGCTGTGAATATTATGAATCATACAGAGAAATATCTTGGAGGCCCACTATTCTTGGGTAGATCAAAAACTACTGAATGGAATTATTTGGTTGATAGATTGAAGTCCAAACTTAGTTCTTGGAAGAAACACACTTTGAGCCATGTGGGTCGCACTACTTTAATCAAATCCACTCTACAAGCTATACCTCAGTACATCAAGCAATCTTATCCCTTACCTAAAGCTATTTGTACTGATCTTAATAATATTTGTAGAAATTTTTGGTGGACTGATTCAGATAAGCATAGTCTTCATATGCATTCTTGGGATACATTCTTGAGATCAAAAGATGAGGGACGACTTAGACTCCGTGATGCATCAGCTCTTAATGAAGCCCTGATTCTCAAACTTGGTTGGCGTTTTCTTTCCAACCCATCAGTACTTTGGGTGAAGGAGTTAAGGGCAAAATATATCAGGACTAAAAAATTCTGGTTTGTACCACTATTACCCTCCAGATCATACATTTGGCGAGGCATTTTAAAGCTAAGAGATTTCTTGCGCCAAGGTTGCCATTGGTTTATTGGGGATGGGTGGACTATTGATGCATTGCACAACCCTTGGCTACCAAATGGGGTTCTTCCCTCTACCATGGCTCCCACACCAAGCCACAATATCAAAGTTGCAGAGTTTATTGAGCACTCCTCTACGACTTGGTGCAATAATCAGTCTCTTATGATTCACTTACTACTCAATCTATTGTCTCCATTCGACTTTCTTTACAGACTGACACAATGCCAGACAAACTAGTTTGGAAGCTGACACCTCATGGATGCTATACTACAGCATCAGGTTACAAACTTCTAACCTCTATGCTTCCCACTTCTTCAAGACAGCAATTTCTGTCTTCTAACATTACTTGGCGTCAATTCTGGAGCCTCAAGAATGTCAGTCCTAAAATACTCCTCTTCACTTGGAGGTTGCTCCAAACTGCTCTGCCCACTAGAAGTAAACTCCACAAAATTCTTCATTTCTGTAGCGACATATGTCCTTTTTGTGAGTTAGCTACAGAGACAATGGACCACTTATTTCTGCATTGCCAATTTTCTAGATTGGTTTGGTTTGGTTCCTCTATGAGCTTTAGGCCTGATTCATACCCATCAAGAAGCTTATCAGAATGGATTTATCTTGATTTGAGTAACGGTCAATCTTATGGTTTGATTTGTGGTCAATACTTCAATATCCTTTGGCACATTTGGCTTGCTCGGAATACCCTCATATTCAATCATCAACACCAATACCCAGAATTCATTATAGAAGAGGCTCGAGTGGATTGGCAGTTGCATTCTGATGTTATTCATCACTCTTTAGTGGTACCTAATGAGAATGTTTCTTTGGCCCCAACTACAGCAATCCATTGGCTTCCACCACCAAGAGGTAGTGTCAAAATCAATTTCGATGATGCCACTGCTACTAATAAATCTAGCATTGGTATTATTATTCGAGATGATAACGGATCATTTCTTTTTGCACGTGTTATTCCGATAGCACCTCAGCCTGCACTCTTCAGTGAAGCCTTAGCTCTTTTGGAAAGCTTCCGGTTTGCTTCTTCTCTTAGTATTTCTTCTGCTGTAATTGAAGGTGATGCACAACTCTTGATTAATCTCTCGTTGAAGGATACCTTTACACCTCCATGGAGTATCTACACTCTACTTATGGATTGCAAGAGATTCCTATCCCACCTTCAAGACTATTTAGTTACTTTTGCTCCACGGATTTGTAATCAATTGCCCATAAACTCGCTAAACATGCATTATCTTGTGTTTCAGCGCACACTTGGTCTGTGGCACCCACTTTCTTGATTCTTTCTTTGAAATCTGATGTAACTGAGTAATTATTAATTGGATCAGCCTTCGGGCATTTAAAAAAGAAATCTTGAAATAACTGACATAGCTCTTGTTTGGAATTGTGTTAAAGCTTAATTAAATTCTTTTGTGTTTTTATTAAAAAAAGTTGTATTCCAATCAGAGAACATGACAATTCGGAAAAGTGGGTTTGCTTTTACATTTTCCAATGGGCCAAATCAGTGCGTTGTTGCAAATAATAATATTATTTTAGTTTTTACATCAAACCTTAAATCCTAAACTCTAATTTTCAAATTTAACTGTAATGTTCTCCGATCGGGTGGGAATCGAAGTATTTAGGCATACGCTGATATGACTAATAACACCACAATGCCCATACGCTCCTAAGTCACACCAATATGATTAACATTTCACTGTTGATTTTGCGTCGAGAATAGAAATATTAGTCTGAACTTTGAAAGCATCCACAAACCTCCAATTTTATCAGATATATGCAATTAATTATACGTCTAAAGGCTCACTACATTTTATAGGTGGGCTCCTTTCCCTAAAGAGGAAGTCTAAAATCAAAATCATGATGTGAGGAAAGCTAATTAGTCAATTAGAAAACAAAGAAAAGAAAAAGGAAAGAAGAGATTGCTTCCTTGAAGTGGTTCAATAGGCTTGGTTGCTAGGAATTTAGCTCTCGTGGTTTTGAATGTCAATAGCATTCTTCCAAAGGGGAAACAAATATTAAAGAATATATATCAAAGATTCAATTAAAACTCACTTAGTCCATCTCCGATCTCTCTCTCTCCTGTGTCTGTGTATATGATAGATGAATTGACCACACAGGCACATATATATAATATTGATGCTCATAGTTGGGGTTGAGTCTTTTAGTCAAGAGGCAAATAATGTCATCGCCGGCGCCTTCTTCACCCCCCCACTACTTGAAATTAGTGAAGCCAAAAAATAAAAAAAATAAAGAAAACGATAATGAAGAGATAAATACATCAAACAGTTCCCAACTTTAATCAGCTTTGGAACAGAACTAGAAAAATTCCTTTCCCACCAATAAACCTGAACTTGCTACAGAAGACCTATCTATATCACAGACTGGATCAACAATGGATTATCAGATGATGACAAACACTAAATGCCCCTGTCTTGTAACTTTCTGAACTGCCATAACTCATCTATGCTCCATATGCTTTCGGCCACGTCGTTGCCAACCCAATTACTTTCAGCCATGTGGCAATCAGAGGCCTCATATCCTCCCTGTAGTGACATAACAGACGTGTTGAAGTCGTCCATGTCATAGCTGCTGTTGTCGACATATGGGTTGTAGACAATGTTACCAAAGTCATGGAGAAGAAGACTTGAAGTTGTTGGGTATTCTGAAAATTCAGGGAATTTGGAGATGTTCATGGAGTCTGAAGAAGATATGCTTGGACTGGTGCAATTCTTCTCTTGAAGATTGATACTGTCAGTCGGTTCACTGACGCTAAGAGACACCTCTGGAGGTGGTGGGAGAGGTGATGGCTGAGGGATCTGCAGGTTGAGTGGTATAGGACTCGATGATGAGTTTTGATTTATCATGGCTAAAGAAGAGTCTTCTATCTTCTGAAGCAATCTAGGCATCCAAAAGCATCTGATCGCATCACGAAACCTGGCGCTATTGGCGTCAATCTTGAGATGCCGCGCTTGTTTCTGCACCCTTGTTCTCCAGTAATTCTTGATCTCATTGTCTGTTCTTCCTGGTAGATGTTGTGCAATCTTAGACCATCTAAATTCACCAAATTTAGAAAATCGTCAATATAACAAGGGGAGATATTGATGAATCGAAATCAAAACATGGTGCTGGATATATATCTAATTAGAACAGTCTAATTAATAGAAAACCAGAGCTCTAAAACTTCACCATGCATGATTGAATAACCACCTGTTTCCCCATCTCGAATGAAGTTCAAGAATCAAGAGCTGTTCTTCAGGAGTAAGGTTTCCTCGTTTGACATCTGGTTTCAAATAATTCAACCATCTCAATCTGCAACTCTTGCCAGTCCTCTTCAATCCTAAAATCAGAAAATTTTCAAAGCTAAAAGAGAATCAATGGTGGTGAACAGACAATGATCGATATGATCTATCATGTGAGGAATGATCAGTATGTTACATTAATTAAATGGGCTAAGAGTATATGGGTTGTTACCTGAAGACTTGGCTAACAGATTCCAACGACCTTCACCATGACAAGCAATGTAATGGATGAGAAGAGTGTCTTCTTCAAGAGTCCATGGTCCTCTTCTTAGTTCAACATCTTCTTCACCATACGAGTATAAACTCTTTGGAGTAGACATAGCTACTCTCGTGGAGCGAGAGACCCACAAAACTAGAAGATAGCTGACAAAAGCAAACAAAGAGGTCGGGAGAATTGCAGCTAGCTAAAGCAGTGAAACTCCGCCCAACCCAGCTTTATAGAGTCCAATAAGGTCGAGGCTTTTACTTGGAAAACTACAAGATAAGGACCCCCCAACCCCCAAGTGTTTAAAACCAGCACGAGAGTCGTCTATTATCTTCCACAACATGATTTCAGTTCCCTATATAAAACAAATCAAAATGGGCTTTGATTAAAGAAATGGCTTGGCCGCTAATGCGCATTTAGTAACTTAATTAGCTAGATGATGACAGTCTGTCTAATGTCAGTGACTATCTAGCCATCATCCAATGCTCCACGTGTCATATTATCGTGTCAGTACAATCAATTATTAACATCACACGTGGCATGTTGTCATGTCAATGTACAACCCACAATTAGATGGTTCCCGCCTAGGTAATCTGCTCAGTCAAGACTCAAGATTAAGACTCCATCAAGGAGAAGTTGGTCCCCAAGTCCCAACCACTTGACCAGTCACCATAACTAGCTAGCTAGCTAGCTAGCCCTGGACCATGCATCAAAAAATTAAGAGATAGATGAGATGATGATAGTGGTGATAATATGCGGAGCTCTCCACAGGGTCGATTACTCAGTCTACTCTGTCCTGTCCTGTTTCCATTTATGGCCCAGAAGATCAAATCTAGACCCTTAACTCTAAATGGCCAGAAGAAGAAGAAGAAGAAAGTGGGTCATGGGTGGTGTCCTTAAAAACTAAATCCTAGTCCTTATACGGTGAATGGACCAATTTGATATAACTTTCTTGGGTTTCTAGATCCATTGGTGTGTGAAACGTGTTTGACTGGACAAGATTTATAAAACAAAGCAAAAGCACCTAAACGTGCGTTTATTGGGCTGGGGTAATAAGTCGGCCTTTAGGCAATTGAGCTTTATTAGGAATTTTAAGACATGCTCCTCGTTTGGATGTCAAAGGATCAATGTCCGCTCGGCTCAATGCAAAACCAATACGTTTCCCTATGTAGTTCCTGTAAACCCTTCTTCTCCAAATTATCAAATAACTAAAGAGACAACCATACTCGAGAGCTCATGGAGAAGAAAAGTCTACCAAATTTGTCTGTGCAGCTAAATTTGACCCCAAGCGTACTGTACCTTTCTATATCGTACTGTGAAAATAAAAACGTATGAGAAAGGTAAGCGGGTGGATGGTGATTGTTTTGGCTTTTGTTGTACTAGTTTTCTAGCTAGATTTAGCTAATTAACTAAAATTAGACAGAAGGGTAGCAGAACAGTGATCATTCTGGTCTGGGTGCTTCCTTGGAAGATTGAAGTAAGGGTTTGGGTGAGGATTTAAATAAGAAAATTATTATTAATGGGAAGTGGACATATTCATATTCCGTCGTTGTACTTGGAATAATAAGTGGTTGGGGCCTTGTGGGATGTTTTAATTGGATAAAAGAGGGAGCCCATTTTTGGTTAGAAGTTCTGAGTGAGGGGAACGGGGGGAGATGCCTTTGTCCATATCTGGTTTTGAAGATAAAAGATAAACTTAAATAGATTTAGGTTGAGGCCTGGGAGGAGATTAAGAAGAGATAAAACAGATTACGGTGATGGTACATTCCTACAATAATTGGAGATGATGTCAACATGAACATGATGAAGGAATGTAGGAATACTGTGATTGGGTGGAAGATAACCATGGGTTACTGAACTCATCATGTAGAGGCCATTAGATAACTGCTGAATCGGCTGAATTGAATTGTTTATTGGGTTGTCTTATAAGGGAGAGAATGGTTATGTAGTGAATATTTAAAGGTAAAGTAGTTGTCATAGCATGAATTGATGAAATTCCTCTCATTGATTATTCACTAGGTCTCTGTTTTGTTTGCAGCACACTGTATCTTTTGTTTTGAGGAGGGTTTTGTAAATTGTAGATCTTGTCCGACTCCCTAAACCTCATCAAATTTCCTAAATTGTAGGTCTTCTCTAAAACCCGCAGTGGGTTGGGGCGGGTTGGAATTAGAACCCTCATCAAATTTCCTGTTATATAAATAATAAATCAACAAAAGAAAATGGACAAACATCAAAATTTTCAATTATTTGATTGAAGCACGTGGAAACATATTTGACAGTGAAAAGTGAGGGTTAATTGGTGAGGAAGGAATAGGGTTTTCAATTAAAATGTGTATATATATATATATATATATATATTTGTAATTTAATTATAATCACTAGGATTTAAATACTATATGCTACCTGTATCAAACTAAAAATTTTGCTATTCGGTTTTCTCAGTTTTTAGTTAATTCGGTTCGGTTAATTTGGTTTTTGAAATTTCAGTTTTCAGAATTAGAAATCTGATTAATCAAAAAACCGGAATTAACCGAAATTCACTATATGATATTTAATATATAATATATAATATGCTATATATTTATATATTAATATTATATCTATCTATCTATCTATCTATCTATCTATCTATCTATCTATCTATATATCTATATCTATATATATATATATATATATATATATATATATATATTATACGTTATAGTATACAATATTTTATGTATGTTAATGAAATTTGGTTTGAACTAAAATAGCTGAAAATCGAACCAAAAATTTTGATTTTCTTATAATTAGGTTTCAGTTTGGTTTTTATTTTTTTTATTTTGGTTTTTAAAATACGATTTATTCGATTCAATTTTTAATCAAATAAACTGAATACTCACCCCTACATATTGTAGAATCGGGTTTAAACTAATAATACAACCTACTTGTACCAGTATAGGCTACAAAATCGCAAAATCCATTCCTGCCCCAACATCTGCTTTTGTAAAAAAGACAAAAAAAAAAAAAAAAAACTGATGGAGTGGGGTACCCATTAGTAGGGTGAAAATTGCCAATTCCTAAATGGTATTTTCTCCGCTCTATAAGAAAGAGAATAGACACCGGCTAAAGGTTCTTGTTTGAGAGGAAGTGGGGAGCAAATCGATATGGTCCCCATTTTATAAATTTGATATTGAAGAGAATTAAGGTAGAAGGAAAATAGTGCAAAATTTGCTTCAGTTTTTTATATGTAAAAATTTTACTACCAATTGTTGCAAATGGGACAAAAGGTACAAATTTTGCTTTACCTAAGAGAGAAAATTATAGTTACAGACAAATAAATGCAAAATAGTTTAAATTTGCATTGCAAACAAACGAAACCTAAAAAAAAAACAAATAAACAATTAAGCTGAACCAATTCAGCTGTTACTAAAAAGGGCCCCTTACATACAGGTGAAATGGGAATCAAAATCAGACATTTGAATTCGTCCTTGACCAGACTACAGTAACTTTAGGTTTACGGCCACATCTAAGCAGTGAACAACCTACAAAGGTTGAAGAAACTTTATGCAAGAATTGATGATTTATGATGATGATGAAAATGATAACCATGATTGGGCCGTGACTCGTGGGACTAGACGACAACGAAACCCATCACAATCCTGGGCAAAGTTAAGTTAGATGCTTAGATGCGTGTGCGCTATGCTCACTCTAAATCCAGGGCGTCCCTACACACATCAGGCGTAGTCTGTGCAAAGCCACTTACGTGTCCTTGCTGTGTGTGCACACCCACTAAAAAGAAAAGCGTGTGACCCAATAGTGCCCAGACAATAACTGGGCTTTTGGGATCAATGGGCTGTCATTGTTTTATTGGATTAGCCATTGCTGTGCTGCAGTTTCTAATTTAAATTAAAGGTAGCTAGCCTTTAACCTGGAATTTTGAGGTTGAGGTGTATTCTATTCCTAAGATCCCATCTCTTACTTTTTCTCCAATCTTTTGATTAGGGTTGTTTTGGGCTTTGATTGATTGTTGGAGAAGATCTCATCAACTTTTCTTTGATATAGATTGCAAAGAATATGTGTATCAATCATGGTAGCTTTCAATAAAAGAATTCTATTCTTTTTCTTGGGTTTCTTACTCTTCTTTTATGGTTTTATTGGGCTAGGATAGCCCATTCCCATCCCCTTAATTCCCCAACCCAGGTGGCAGTGGATTTGATCCCATGTAGAAATAGAATTACCTGAATCATGGTTTTAAATCCCAAAACCATCCGACCTGAGATTGGACCATTTAACTCAGGAATTTCCGGTTTAATTTTCAAAACCATGATTAAATGCAATAACTACTTAATAGACCGTGGAACCAACACTGGTCATAAAATACACAGCGCCTCACTGTAGGCCCCATATATATCTTATGACTGCCATGGGGTGTATGATTGGTTCCACAGCCCGCTATACAATCATCGCATTCAATTAATACTTACTAATCCGAATTATCCCAAATACTTTGCTACAATTAGTCAGACATCAGCTACTGGCCCACCACCTGTTGGTGGTTTCTTGCTCTTCTTATCTTCAAATGGTTTCATCTTTCGAATCAGTATATATATCCAAATGACTTTATGCATGAACTTGGAAGTAAAAAAGAAAGGGCGGGGCAGGATTTAGGACACTCTCATCATAACAACACTGGGTACTCTCCTACGTCTTATCTGTAAAATGGGCCATCAATGCTGGCTCCACTACGTGTATCCTGGGTATGGGCCTCTTGGGAGGAGTGGGCTGGATATGGACATAACCTTGAGAATTTCTTCACGTGAAATGACTGCTACTCTACACTTGCCTTCAACCTGAAATTTTACCATTGCACCAAACAGTCACCCCTTAATTAAAATAAGATCAGAATCCTGAATCTATCATAGATGAATGGGTGAAAAATGCTTACACACCAAGATCAAATAATCCAAATTATAGGAATTTGAGTAGAAAGTCTGATTCATCAAATGGGTTCTGAATTTTTGGAGGTAAGGCCTCTTAGATAGTGGGCCCAGATTCTTTATGTATAAGACGTACGCATGGAAGTAAGGATTAAAGTATTGGTATCGAGTATCGTATCGGATAACTTATTGGATACGGATATATATATATATATATATATATATATATATATATATATATATATATATATATATATGGATGCATTTTGGAAACACATGGATATGGATGAAAAATATAAAAAACATGGATACACTAGGAAAATACATGCAAATTTTATAAATACATTAATAACACTAAATTTATGGTCAAACAGCCATAA